ATTAAGATCACTGGAAGCAACACAATTATAGCTCAACAATTTCAAAAAAAAAACTGGACTGCGCATACGCTAAATGTGGCGAGGGTCCCTCTTCTTAAGAATTCGAATTCCGCGTCTTGAGGAGCCACCGCACCGCCACCGGCAACCGCCACCGCCTCAACCTGGTCGGGCGGGGGAAGACTAGCCTGGCTGGCGAACGTCCCGAACCCTAAGAGGGTTGAAGCGAGAGAAACTAGTTGCAAGAGCGAATCATTTATGTTGCAGGCGGTCTTGAGTTAAACACTGAGCTTTCCCTTTTGGAGCAGCGGTGGGAATGGCTTAACCACGCCTCCGAGGCATGCCAGTTTTGCCAATGATGAGTTTTTTGTTTGGGTCGAGGCATAATAGTTTGAAAGATATATAATAAGAAAAAATGAAGCCGGCCTATCAACGACATAAGACGGTTCTGAATATGTGCGAAGAAAATTCATTAGCTTTTAAGCAAGTATGTTTTAAATTGGAAGTGTGTTTTATTGGGTGTAACGGACATCGCATATTTGCGTCGTGTATCATTAAACGCAAATTTGCTTCACCTCAGAGAAAAAAATTATCTAATATATTCCGGATATATACAACAATTTCGTAGGACATAGTTATTGCAAACAAACAATTCGTAAAAACCACTCCGTCGACATTTTAGTTCGATTTTAGCGCGATTAGCTTTGTTTTCTGCTGGTAAAAGTGATATTAATGCAATATCCTTGAAGAAAGAATTTAGCTAGAAGATAAATTTTTGCATCTAATAATTTTATGCAGAAAACATATTTTTGTGTATAACGAGAAGTTATAGCGACCAAATTTCAAAGTCTCATTGTTTGATAATTATGAAATTTAATCTAGTGTAAATATAACATATTGCGTACTGCAAAAATGAAGTTGCCTTTTTAATGAGCTTACTCTTGAATTGACTCCAAACTGGTGTTAATGTGTCCATTGCCCTGCAATCCGGCTAATAAGTGTTTCTGACATCCTGAGGTTTAAGGCGGCAAGAACGACGAACAGACTAATGTTGAGCGCACCAGCTTATTCTTCAGGCCAGTAAGTCGCGCAAGCATTTATCTCTGCAAATGCCTTGGTATCTGAAGAGTGAAGTGTAGTCTCGTTGAAATATTACAAATGTTACGCAAGCGCACTTGGAATCCTTCAAGGAGCTTTAATCCTTTTATGAAGATTTATAAATATTTCTGTACTCACTAACACACCACACACAGAATTTCAAGCTACCATAGTTGAATTAATACGCAGATCACATGTCTCTACCCAGTTTTTGATTGAATTTGAAAACACACCATTACAAAGATGCAGAAGGTGCTGCTTGATTTACTATATTTTTTTATCATGGTAAACTGATTTGTTGGTTAGAAAAAAAATAGAGACAGAAGAAGAATTTGAGACTGTTTTTTCAATGAATACGAGAGGTGCATATACAACGAGGGATTGTTCAGCTTTCAGGGCCTCTTCTCTCTCTCCTTCCCACTTTCAGCCTTGGTCCGTTTGTTTGGCGCCGCGGGCTTTACAAACCACGGTCCATTTCTTTGCGTTCGAAGAAGTGCTGATGCATCACATGTAAGCCGTTGGCTTCAGGCCGGTCATAAGGATAAATTAAGGAAAGAGAAAAAGAAAAAAAAAGGAAAAACCCTAGAAAAAAAAAAAAAAAAAAAAAAGGAAGAAAAGGAAAGGCTAGGAGGGGAGAACATTTACACGTAAATGAACGGCCTGAAGCCACGGCGTTACATGTGGGATGCATCCAAGCACTTCTTCGAACGAAAGACATGGACCGTTGGTGAAGGTCCCCGCGGGCAAACACAAGACGACAAAGTGGGGCGGGACGGCAGTTGCGGCGCGGAGAGTGGTGTGAAATAAGGAGGAAGCAAAACATGGAGGTTCTCAAGAAGTGGAGTGAGCGAGTCAGGTGAAAGCGAAGTGAGTTGTGATCGGGCTGGGATGGTGGAATGATGCGACAGGATGTAATGTGGGAGAGTCAGTCGAAACAGGTAGGATTAGGGCGAGAGTGCAGAGAGGACTGGAGACAGAGGGATGATGAGGAAAATGCAAAGCGTGAAAGAGATCCGAAAGGATGGGAGAGGTTAAGGATGGAAGAGGAAAGAAAGATGGCGCGCTATCCCGTGGGCCGCGTGTTAGCGTACTGCTCGCGACAATCGTTTGGCCATTCATACGAATATCCCATGGAAATGCTATCTGATCAGGGTAGCTGCCGCGGCGACTGCGGTCACATTCGACCACGTCGGCAAAATACCGCCATCGTTGGAAATTAAACTCTAGGACGTGCGCGGTCAGAGTCGCCGCAGAGACAGCGCGGTAAGGACAACGCAATGGCAGCTTTAAGTAAAGGTAATAAGGTGCGGTAAGGATGGATAGGGGGAACAAAAGATGGCGTAGAGGTTCCGGGGAAGGGTGCGCATCGAAAAGTGTGGCGGGCTGGAGTGGACTGGAGAGCAACTGTGAAAGCGTAGCGAACTAAAGAAGCACAACGCGTAGCACAACATGAACGGGTTGGAGTAGAACTGAAAAGGTGCGGAACGGAGCGGGGCTGGGCGGGGGGGGCGAGCCGGAGCGAAAGCAGAGAGATACGATGCGTTGCGGAATGGAGGGTTCCGGGCGGGGAGAGGGCCGGAGTGCCGTCGGAATGGCACAGATGGATGGCGGTAGGCGGCTCCAAACGCCCACAACTCGAGTGGTGGCCGTTCCGCCTACTCTCGGATTAGCCCCTCTATTTACAAACTATCGCCACAATGCGTAAATTTCTAATTGAAACGGCTGCCTTAATCCTCGGCAGATCGGATCTGCGCGCCCCGGCTTGGACGCGCGCTTGAAAGTACCGGCGCAGCGCCGCGGGGGCGCTGAACAGCAACGGCCGCTCGACCAGAGGGGGAGTGGCACGCGGAGGAAGAGGCCGTGGCCGTGGCGGGTTAGCGGGAGTCGTGATTTGTAAGTCACACGTCAAAAACCGAATTCCTCGATATCTGAAATGTTTTCATCTCTTATCCTTCTTATCAATTTTATTTGCTCAAATTTGTACAAATTTATTTTATTTACTCAGATAACATTTTTTACGCAGTTTTAATGTCAAAATATCGTGGATTTACGTTAATGATGTTTCCAATGAAAATACACCTTTGACTGCATATCGTTTTTGCAAAAGATTGCTTCGACCGAGAAGAGTCGATGCCCTGAGTTGTTGTGTCACTCACCGTCTCGAATTTGAAGGCAATGAGCGGCCGCACCAAGTCGAACCAGTTGGTGATCCGCTTGCCCACGAGGTCAGGCAGGATCACCATCAGCGAGTTGCCCATGCTGCGCACCAACATGTCCGACCTAACAACAAAAAGCAGAAGCGCTGCAGATTTACCGCTGTGACCTTTCCAATTGTAGCTGCTGCGAACTGTATCTTTTGAGTTGTGTTATTTCGTTAGTTTATTAGTTTGTACTTCATCATGATTTTTCGCATTCCAATTGTACAAATTATATAATAGTTATTCATGCACCAAGGGTCTAAGGCCTTCGGTCTTTTTGACGCCGCTAGATCAGTAGATTCTTTATGCATAAATAAACCCTTGGTGCATTAATAACTATTCTTTTACTCGGAATTTTATTTATCAGATTAAATTATTAGATTACTTATTAGATTAGTCAAGCATCCCTCTTCATAGCTGGTACAAAAATTATTCAAAAATTAAATTACAAAAGTTGAGAATGAAATTGCACAAAATTATACAGTGGCTCACATTAATATTCGGACAGCCACAAGTACAGAAGGCGTTTCTTGTTTGACTGTAATTTTTCGTACGTTTGCGAACGTTACATGTGAGGAAATGCAAAGGAACTTTATCTTCATTATTAGAAACAATAATACAAAGAAAATGTTTCTGACTCACAACATACGTTTCTTGAACACGGATTCATGTGTGAATATGCTAAAATACGAAGTCACATTAATATTCGAATACGTAATGGAAAATGTCCTCTTTCCCCCTCGCCACTCTCCCATATAGCGCGAAAAGCGCAACATCCTCTACCCAGGACGAACGAAATTATGAAGTCAGTCTCTGTAAATATTTCCCCCTGGAAACACCTCTTGCAATGAGGCGCAAGTGAAAGAATTTGACGTCCGAGCAAAGGCAGCTTGTGGTTTTCTACCACGCAAAGGGACGTTCCTGCAGGGCGATCACAAATATTTTACTCATGAGCAAGAGCACAGTGCACGATGTAATTAAGAGATTTGAGAAAGAAGACAGAATTGGACCTAAACCATAACAAAGACAACGTAACAAGATCTGTAAAAGGAAGCAGCGTGAAATTTTGAGGCAAGCAGGAGAAACTCCGAAGGTGAGTGCCGTCGAACTGGTAGCAGAACTGCAAAAAGCGTCAGGGACATATGTCCACCCCGAAACAGTGCGCGAAGTTATTAGGAATGCCAGATATCACGGCAGAGGCCAGGAAGAAACCCTTTGTTTATGCTGGGAATAAAGCTAAACGACTTCACTTTACAAAGGAATACGTGACGAAATAAGAGGAGCAGTGGCGTGAAGTAATTTTTGTAGATAAGAAAAAGTTTAATATTTTTAGCAGTGATGATAGGGAAATCATATGGCAAAAACCATATACAGAATTTCGCCCTAAAAATTTTAGTCAACGACCCGAAGCACAAATAATATTTAGTGTGCGAATGGTTGTTTTACAATTGTTCAATAGTACTGTAAACGCCTCCTCAGCCTCCTGACCTCAATCCAATCGAGAAATTATGACCTGAATTGGTATATACAGTCAGGAGAATCCCAATAACGTCGAAGTTCCATCTGCAAGCGAGAATCCAGGAAGAATGGGAACAAATTGGACAACAGTACCTGAAGAGGATTATTGATCCAAACCCAAAAATAATGTAGCAAGTCCAATGACTACAAGGGTTATATAACAAAGTATTAATTTTCTTTTCGTTTATTTATTTATTTATTCATTCATTTATATTTCATTTCACGTGTCCGAATATTACTGTGGCTAATGAATCCAAATAACGTTATTTTGTTTCCTTTTTTATCGAATGCGTCAACTACATTCTGTATTTTTGTTTTGTTTATACTGTTATCCGTTAATAGAGGAACGATTCTGTTTCACTTTCGTGCATATATTTGTTTTCCTACAACTGTCAAAATATCGCAGAATTTACGGTTTCTGGAATATATCTGAGTGTCCGAATATTAACGTGAACCACTGTAGCTAAATTTGATAAAACGGTTGTTATTTGTAAAATGAATTTGGAGACAAGTAGATAAGAATGAAAATAATATTGAAGGTAATGCATATAATAAAAGAAAAGAAAAGGGGGATGATAAATATCCAAGTGGCCTCTAGTAAATATCTTCGAAACGTTTTGCCCCAAATTGTTGCTGATGATTAGAAAAATTAAATATTTCGTTTTCTTGTTTATAACATTTTTTTGTTCTTTAAGGTCGCATCAACTACTAGGTTATCAGCGACCACTATTGCGTGTAACGGTATGGCAAGTGTGTGGGTGACACGATATGATGATGAAAGGGGGTGAAAGGACGAACACAATACAACCATGCCCGAGGCGGGATTCGTACCCGCGATCCTAATATAATAATAAATAAGGCCAATTCAATTCAATTCAATTCAATTCAATTCAATTCAATCCTTCGGTCCGAGTTCGCTACGGCACTACTGCCTAAGCGATCTCGGCCATCCGGATCGTCTGTAACATTTTTAATTTTGTAGATAATGAAAAAGCTTTAATTTTTCATATAAGTATATATTTTTCCAGTAGTACTCTAAAAATCTGGAGGTGTGTAGTGCAATGTTGTAAGTATTGTTACTATATGGAAATAAACGTATGAAAAAATGCGTTTTGCATTTCCTCAGAAACAACGCGTTCGCCTTTCCGTATCGATTTCCCGTCAGGAAGAATGTGTGTGTGTCTTACGCTGCCGTCACAGGGACTCCGCCCTCCAGAAAGACATTGACACCAACTTCGCTCTTCAATATAGCTATATTTTTTGAATTCCCCTTGAATGCATTTATTGTACAATAGAGTGCGGAATACACACAGTGATCGTTTTGAAACTTTGCTTGGGCTCTCGCTTCCATTTTAGAATATAATTGTTATATTTTATTCATTAAATTATTATGTTGAAGCATTATTAAATATCATAAGTGGCTTTGTGAAAGGGGGGAAGGAAAATCGGTTTTAATTTTCGCCAGTGCAAGTTTCGATAAAATAGCAAAATATGCATAAAATGTAGAAAAATGAAAAATGCATATAATGTTGCAAATGAAAATGTAATTTAATGAACCAATATTGTTTTTATCGATTATTAGTATACAATTAAATTAGTAAACGATTTTCTCGATCCGGTAAGTTATGCAGTGTTATCGTAGTCTTTATCGAAGACTATAACAAGCTGTTACGTATCAGAAAAAATTAAATTGAATACATCAAATTGTGAATCATAAATTAAAAATATGTACATGTTATTTACAATCAGATTTTCAGATTGGCTGTGATGATAAATACGTCATCAAATATATTTTGAGAATTAAAAAATATTGATACGAGACATCTTTTTCTCAAATTATCGCAAGGTATCAACCTCACTATCAATATTATTGGGATTTTACTCCACGGGTCAACTCACGGGCAATCCTAAGGACTGCGATTAAAATGTTTGAGAAACTCTCCAACAAAGACACGAAGTTGGCGCGTCGCGCGGCGCCAGGAGGCCGCAAGGAGCGGCGAGGGCGCAGCGCCGGGCCAGCGGCGCCAAGGAGCGGGGTGGAGGTGGGGGAGAACGAACCGCACGCGCCTAAAGCAACAGCCTGGGGGCGGGGAGGGGAGGGGAGGGGCGCGCCAAGAGACTTGTGGGCGGGGGGGAGGGGCAGGAGGGGATTATGCGCGCATTACGTGTAATGAATGAGCGTGGACTGACGGCAACGCGCGCGTGCGCGCACGCGTCGGCAGCGGTGGCGGTGGCGGCGAGAAAAGCGTTTGTATTCCCTCCCCTCCCCTCTTCCTTTCCTCGCTCACCCCCACCGTCTCCTGCTACTGTTGGGCGTAGTGAATGGCTGGGGCGCCAAGGTTGCCTGCGAGTGCCCTGCGGCTATCATGACTAGAAATGGATTTTAGGCAATAGCTCTATTTTACTGTTTTCTAGCAGACACCGAAATTAATTATAAAGCACATTCCTCCACACGATTCAGGAACGCCATATTATGAAATCCATAATATATATATATATAAATAGATATATAATATATATAATATATATATATATAGTATAGTCTCTCTTATAAACAGTCTTCTCGCTCATTTGTAATAGCGCCTAAAAGACCTACTTATATAGTTAATGATATATTCAAGTGGCAAGGTATTTAAAATTATTCTGAGGCGCTATTTGCACCGCTTTGTTTGTTCGCGTGGTGTAGTCGGAAAATCTCGAGGACGAGAGAATCTAAGCTTTTATGTGATCGGAACAGCTTCGCAAGCCGATTTAGCGCTTCTTATCGCTATACATTCTTTGAAATTACAATCCGGCTTACTCGGTCAAGTGTACTTCGTAGAACTAATCTTGAGTTGGAGATTTATGCTGATTTGAGGCGTGACACAATTCGATTCATCATCCTAACATGTTTTTTGTATGTAGTAATTCTCAAAAAACTGTGAGTTACTCATCTCTGGAAATAGTGCATACTCCCCGGCTTCGAGTGGCAAAAAGCAGATTTAAGCAATAATGGTAAGAGAATAACTAAAAGAATTTTTTTTTCTAAAATGTTATTTTATCTCAATTTTTGCTGTCTCTTTTAGAAATTGTAACGCGTATTTTCGCTTTTTAGGCTTCAAAAATGGTAGGAGATTTTAGAGCTTTAAATCCTGACGCTTAATTATGAGAAACGCAACAGAGTGCGACCCATGTAGTTTTAATGTAAGAATGAACTGGGTTTAAATATGTGGTATTGGCTTGTATGTAGCAGCAGGTTGAGGTTTCCAATATACTAGAAGTGTGTACGTAACTGAAAATCTGCAGGCTGATAGGTTCAGTTCCTTCCAGTAGATGATTTGTGTTATCAAGCACTAAAAAATACAACTCATAAATGATGCCTCTGGTTGGGAGGTTCGTGATTTAGTGAACACACCCCTCACCTTCTATCCCGGAACAGGATTTAAATGCCGATCACTCCAAGCGGAATTTGTGGTGGACAAAGTAGGCTCGCGGGAGATTTTCTCGTAATTCTTCCGTTGCTTCTGCCTTTCCATCGCAACGTTTCTTTAACTATCATTTAATTGTAATAGCCCAATTAGGGCG